AGGTTATTAAATGTTGTCCCAAACTGTATCAAAGCTTATCTCAAAGTGTATCAAAGGCTATCCCAAACTATATAAAATGTTGTCCCAAACTGTATGTCATCTCAAACTGTATCAAAGTCATCCCAAACTGTATCAAAGGTTATCAAATGTTATCCCAAACTGCTTCAAAGTTTATTCCAAACTATATAAAATGTTGTCTCAAACTGTATCAAAGGCTATCTCAAACTGTATCAGTCATCTCAAACTGTACCAAAGGCTATCCCAAACTGTATCAGTCATCTCAAACTGTATCAAAGGCTATCTCAAACTGTATCAGTCATCTCAAACTGTACCAAAGGCTATCCCAAACTCTTATCAGTCATCTCAAACTGTACCAAAGGCTATCCCAAACTCTATCAGTCATCTCAAACTGTATCAAAGGCTATCTCAAACTGTATCAAAGGCTATCCCAAACTCTATCAGTCATCTCAAACTGTATCAAAGGCTATCTCAAACTGTATCAAAGGCTATCCCAAACTCTTATCAGTCATCTCAAACTGTATCAAAGGCTATCCCAATCTCTATCAGTCATCTCAAACTGTATCAAAGGTTATCCCAAACTCTATCAGTCATCTCAAACTGTATCAAAGGCTATCTCAAACTGTATCAAAGGCTATCTCAAACTGTATCAAAGGCTATCTCAAACTGTATCAAAGGCTATCCCAAACTCTTATCAGTCATCTCAAACCGTATCAAAGGCTATCCCAAACTCTTATCAGTCATCTCAAACTGTATCAAAGGCTATCTCAAACTGTATCAAAGGCTATCCCAAAATATTTCAAAGATTGTACCAATCTATATCAAAGGTTATTTCAAACTAACAAAGTTATCCCCAATTATGTAAAAGGTTATCCCCAACGATATCAAATGTTTTCTAAACTATATCAAAGTTATCAGAATGTCAGAAAGTTGCAATGGATCCTAACCCCATCGTGACAACAACACATGGATACAATGGAAATTATTTGTAGGTAAAATTTAAATAATCAAAAATGTATACTCAGTTTTTAAGGCTAAAGACTTGGTCTATCACAGGTTGGGCGCCAAATTTACATTTAAAATATTATCAATGGGGACAGAAAAGCATGTTACCAGTAGCTACGTTTGGCCTGCAGACCTTGATTTTGACACTTGTATTACTGGTAAACAAATGCATATATGTACAGTATATTTTGCTTATAAAGTATTTTATTTAAAGACCCATTAACAGTCAGTATGGGGAAATAAAGTGCAGATTATGTTTGATTATTTAATTTATTTGACCGGTCGTTGCTGCGAGAGGGAAAACACGGCCATGATGGATGTTTAATTGTACTTAGTACGTCGAGGAATGGGGCAATAATTGCCTTTCAGGAGCCACGCAAACAAAGAACGCAGGAGGTTTTCCTGTCTTTTTCCCTCTTATTCCTGTTTTCCGTTCTGACGTGAAAGGATTTGGCACTAAGACGCCGCACAGAGGGACGGGGAGGGGGGGGTAGAAAAATCCTCAAAAGTGGATCAAAAAAGTAAATGAAAAATAATGTCACATTACTGAAAATATGAGAGGCTAATTTGTGCCGACTTTTTGCTAATTTTGTTCTGGCCACAGAAAGGGGAGCCGTCACCTGCTCGGCGCCGCGGCGCTGACGGTGCCAGTGATCCATGAAATAAGCTGCCGCTGGCTTTGTTCAGATAAGAATGAACAAATCTGCACAATGTACGGCTCTCAAAATCTCATTTTCATACTTGCATGCAGGCTAAAAGAAATAAGCTGTTTGCAGGCTTGATTAATCAGACATTTGAGGGTTTTTTGTCTCTTTGATCTGCTCTGTCTCCAAGGTAACTCGGTTGACATTAATGTTAAGCTCCAGTAAAGACAATCAGGGAGTGGAGACTAAACTGCTCAAAAAAAAAAAATTCAAGGAAAATTAAAGACCTTTAATGTTTTAGGAGAGACTAGATATTCCTTAAAAAAAGAGCGGATTGAGTTCATAAAAGTGGATTAAGCTTTTAAAATGTTTATTTTAAAACAACAAACTAAACCCATTCAGCATCATGCAGATAGTTGATAATATTTGTTAGCAAAATATCTCATAAGACAACAAAATGTTTGGAAATAATCACAGAATGTACCTCAAGATGGCCACCAAATCCACACAATAAACCACTACATTTCAGTTAGTTTTACAGATATTAAGCTAACGTTTGGTGTGGTAGTAGCTGAGAGTCATCCCAAGAGTATGCAGTATCATCGCCTAATATAATATTCTCCACCTTGTCTGTGTTAGCAAAATATCTCATGAACTACAGAACAGGATTTAAAGAATCTGTTGGGAAATAATCAAAGGATGTACCTCAAGATGGCCGCCATAGCCACACGAAAATGAATAAATTTTAGTCGTTTTTACAGATATTGAGCTAGAATTTGTTGTGGTGGTAGCTCAGAGTCATCCCAACAGTATGAAGAATTATTACCTAAAATAATATCAACTCTGTTTGTGTGTTAGCAAAATATCTCACAAAACAGGATGGATTTTAATGGAACTTTTGGTAAATAATCACAGGATGTACCTCAAGACAGTACCACAGTATTGAGTATTATTTCTTAAAATAATGTCAGTGCTGTCTATGTGTTAGCAAAATATCTCATGAACCACAAAACAAATTTTAATTAAACTCTAGTTTAAAAAAAAAATCAGACAATGTACCTCAAAATGGCGGCCACAGCCACACAAAAATGATTAAATTTCAGTCAGTTTTACAGATATTGAGCTAAAATTTGTTGTGGTAGTAGCTGAGAGTCATCCCAACAGTGTGCATCATCATTGCCTAAAATAATGGTATCCACCCTGTCTGTGTTAGCAAAATATCTCATGAACTACTGACTGGATTTTAATTAAGTTAAGTAAATTTTATCTACAACTTTTTAACTTTTAGAGTCAAGATGGCCACCGCAGCTAATCGACATTAACTGTGACGTTATTTTTAAATGACCTAAAACAGCTTCAACGCTATAAAGAAAGTTTAGGTGTAAAGCTCTGCGGGCGACATGCAGCCCTCGGCCTTCAGGTTTATTTTTGCGGTTGTTCAAGTTGTTCCGGGGTTTGTCGTAACGACGTGTATCCCGGCGCCTCTTGGACTCGAACCCTGAAGTGTTTTTTATCGACTCGCGGGATCGTCTTTTCACCGAGAGAAAACACGATTCGAGGAATTTAAAACCTTAAAAAAAAACGGTGAACAGAACCGGAGAGCGTCGGCGCGGCATCCGCTCCGGGTTATTCAGATGCTTTTACAAATCTTCCCGGCGACTGTATAGATGAATGCCTTCAGGGCCCCGCCGGGCCCCGGTACCAGCAGCCAGCCGAAGCCCTTATCTTAAATCCGAGCAAAGTACCATTAATCTTTCTGAAAGACCTTTATGGCTTTTAATGTATCCCAAATTAGAACATTTTACACCCTTGGTTCCTGAAATGTGGCGATAAAAAGCCTTTAGAGTTTAATTTTTCCTGCCTGCTCGCTCCGACCTGCTTAATCCCAGCATGCATTAGGAGATATTTTAGCTTCAGTCTTTCTAATAAACTTTATCCCACTTAATTATAATTGAAACATTTTTTTCTAAGCAGGTTTTTTTCTTCTTCTTCTTCCTCCAAGTGGCACAGCGGTGACACATTTCCTCATTACCTTAAGACTTTCTCCCGCTCTGATTGTGCTCTAAATATTACAGAGAATTACCCCAAGATGGGTTGAAATTGTTCCAAGTTGTTTATCAAAGTTCTCCTGCGTCAGGATTTGATTCTTTTGTTTCTGCTGTGACCGGGGTTACTGGGATTATTCTGCTTCACAACGCCTCTCTGGGATTTGTTTCCTCCTGGAGTCACGGTCGTCCTCTTCACGTCTGCGGTCCGAACAGACAACCCTGCTTCACCTCCGTGGCAATAAAAATAATAATAAAGATAATAAAATGATTCACAATATTTCTAATTGTCTAGTCTGATGATTTATACTCACAATAAAGAAAATAAAATGTAACAAAAAGTTGATTTTTATTAGGAATTTGAGATGATTTTTAAGAAAACGCTGAAGGTTAGCACTGTTCAAGATGGCCACCTCGGCTAGGCGACACGTAAACGTCCAAAACTCGAGTCATTTCTGACAGCAGCTCTGAGCTCCAACAGATTATTCATCAAGTTCTCTTCAAGTTTGAACAAAAACATTTAAACTTTATTATTTGTATTACAAACAGTTCAGTTTTTATTTACTTTGTTTACAATTAGAACCTAAACTAAACCAATGTCAACTTTAAATATTAAACTGTCCTGCTTACATGGAACTAAATTAATATGATTATTGTCCCCATTTGTCTGTTTCTGTCTGTCCACCTGTCTCTTTGTCCAAATATGTGTCTTTTTGTCCACCTATGTGTCTCTTTGTCCACCTGCCTTTTTGTCCACCCGTCTGTATTTTTGTCCGCATATGTGTCTTTTTGTCCACCTGTCTCTCTGTCCACCTGTCTGTCTTTTTGTCCACCTGGTCTGTCTCTCTGTCCACCTGTCTGTCTTTTTGTCCACATGTGTGTCTTTTTGTCCACCTGTCTGTCTTTTTGTCCACCTGTCTGTCTTTTTGTCCACATGTCTATCTTTTTGTCCACATGTCTGTCTTTTTGTCCACCTGTCTGTCTTTTTGTCCACCTGTCTGTCTTTTTGTCCACCTGTCTGTCTTTTTGTCCACCTGTCTGTCTTTTTGTCCACCTGTCTGTCTTTTTGTCCACCTGTCTGTCTTTTTGTCCACCTGTCTGTCTCTCTGTCCACCTGTGTGTCTTTTTGTCCACCTGTCTGTCTTTTTGTCCACCTGTCTGTCTTTTTGTCCGCCTGTCTCTCTGTCCACCTGTCTGTCTCTCTGTCCACCTGTCTGTCTCTCTGTCCACCTGTCTCTCTGTCCACCTGTCTGTCTCTCTGTCCACCTGTGTGTCTCTCTGTCCTCAGCTGGCAGTAAAGATCTCTCAGGCCGTCGGTTGTCGTGATTTTGTCCGTCAGAAGGAGGAAGAGGAGGCAGCGAGGGCAGCACAGAAGAGGAAGAAGCGGATGTCCTGGGGGTAGGACGTGTCTCTGTCCTCGTCCTCGTGCGTCTCGCCGCCCTTCAGGACCGGTCTCTTCAGTTACTTCCTGTTTGTTTGTGTTTCAGGTTCGAGGCGAAGCAGCGGTGGGAGACGAAGAGCAACATGGGCTTCATGTGACCCGGGCGGCAGCGGAGCGTCTCTTTCCTCCAGAAAAAACAGAATTTAATTTAAAAAAGAAGTTTTTAAACATTTGTTTTATTTTCTGCGTTTCTACAGTTTCCAGCAGCAGCGTGTGGGCTGCTGACAGGAAACCAATCTGGAGAGCAGAAAAAAAAAAGGACGAAGGATTCAAATTAATTCCTGAGGCGCCCAC